AGTTATAACATAGATACACGCGGTCGGTTGAAACTTATAAAATTATATCTGCATACACAATTCTATTTTTCTTATTTTTATTGTTGTAGTATATTTTAAACATAAAATAGATCTTTTATTATTCCGCTTTAAATGCTGTGACAACTTTTTTTTTTTCGTTCAGATTGTTAGGTAAACATTAAATGCATGTAGTTGAGAGGTAGTGGTTATAGAGGTAGTAGTTGAGAGGTAGTTGTTGTATTGAATGTATGTAGTTGAAAGGTAGTAGTTGTATTAAATGCATGTAATTGAGAGGCCATATCCAAATGGCCTATAAATTGACCATGCATCACTCATTACAAATACATCAAGTGATAATATACAAAGTGTTTTATTTAGATACTTGTTTGTCTACAAATTGGCATCAGAGCTTGAGAGGCTGAGTGTCTGAGTGCGTTAGAGAGAGTGTTTGAGAGTTAGAGAGTTTGTTTGAGATGGCCAACTTAGCTAACAGCATGCCCCTACCAAAGTTATCAAAAGGCGTAAGCTATGATAACTGGAGCCTGCAAATGAAGGCTCTCCTTGGTTCCCAAGAAGTATGGGATGTGGTCGAAAATGGGCACCAAGAACCAAAGAATATTGAAGAGCAGACGATTGCTCAGCTTGCTGCATTGAGAGGAACACGAGTAAAGGACAAAACGGCTTTGTACGTACTATACCGAGTTGTTGATGAGTCCGGCTTTGAGAAGATAGCAAATGCTAAATCTTCAAAAGAAGCGTGGGATATTCTGGAGAAGGCATATAAAGGGGATAATCGCGTGAAGCAAGTCAGGCTTCAAACTCTTAGAGGCGAGCTTGAAAGCATGAGGATGAAAGAGGTCGAAGGGGTTGCCGAGTACATCTCCCGTGTTGAGACCGTGGTGAATCAACTCGGAAGAAATGGAGAGACGCTGCCCACTTGCCGAGTGGTGGAGAAAATCTTAAGGTCGTTAACTGACAATTTTGAGAATATCGTTTGTGCAATAGAAGAGTCCAAGGACTTGTCAGTGCTCTCGGTGGAAGAGCTTGTCGGGTCGCTTGAAGCGCATGAGCAACGGAGAAGGAAGAAGAAAGAGGAGTCCCATGATCAAGCACTCCAAGCAAAGGCAATCTTAAAGGAGAAGAAGGTTCCTTATGCTCAGAACACTCAAGGCCGAGGTGGTAGAGGCAGAGGAGAATATGAAAGAGGCAAGGAGTCAGTCAGTCAACAAAACTGGCGTGGCCGAAGACAAGGTAGAGGTCGTGACGGTAGAGGCCGAGGTGGTCAGTCAAGCAATTCCGGAGTTGAGTGCTTCAAATGTGGGAAGTACGATCATTTTGCTAAGGACTGCTATTCAGGTATCAAATGTTATAATTGTGGGAAGGTTGGGCATTTCGCAAAGGACTGCCGATCTGAGAGGAAGAAGGAGACAAACCTCCTCTCTGAGGACACTGAGGAAGAAGGAGTATTGATGATGTCGAGAAGTTCGGATGTCGAGCTAAGTCCGAGCTGTTCTGACAACTCGATTTGGTATCTTGATACAGGAGCAAGTAACCACATGTGCGGGGATGAGAACCTTTTTAAGGAGCTCACTAAAGTTGAGGCCGGACACGTGTCATTTGGAGATGCATCAAAGGTGGCAGTAAAAGGCAGGGGTACAATCTGGTACCTACAGAAGAATAGCCGAGTTGGAGAAATCAGAGACGTGTACTATGTACCTGATCTCAAAAGCAACATACTGAGCATGGGTCAGCTGATGGAGAAAGGCTACTCGGTTCTGATGAAAGACCGAGTACTATACCTGAAGGACAAGTCGGATCGTTTGATTGCCCGAGTAGAAATGAAGAAGAACAGAATGTACAAGATGGAGTTGAAGATAGTCCAAGAGAGGTGCTTGAAACTAGACGTGAAGGATGAAGCAATGATGTGGCACTTTCGGTTTGGCCACTTGCATTTTGGCGGGCTGACCAAGTTGGTAAAGAAAGAGATGGTGCGAGGACTCCCGTCTATGGAATTTGAAAAGAAATTTAGTGAAGATTGTGTGCTCGGGAAGCATCCGAGAACCTCATTTCCGAGGACGGCCGAGTACCGTGCAAAGGAACAACTCGGATTGATTCACATAGATCTTTGTGGACCGGTTACCCTTGAGTCCTTCAGTGGGAAAAGGTATTTCATTTCTTTTATAGATGATTTTTCAAGAAAAACCTGGGTATATTTTTTGAAGGAGAAATCCGAGGTGTTTGAGGTGTTCAAGAGATTTAAAGCAATGGTTGAGAAAGAGATTGACATGCCTATCAAATCTGTTAGGTCTGATCGAGGAGGTGAGTTCATTTCATCCGAACTCATGAAGTATTGCGAGGAGCAAGGGATAAGGAGATTTCTGACAGCACCATACTCACCCCAACAAAACGGAGTTGCCGAGAGGAAGAATCGAACCATTCTTGACATGGTTCGAACAATGTTGAGAAGCAAAAATGTGCCAAAGGAGTTCTGGGCAGAAGCAGTGCAATGTGCCATCTATGTGCAAAATAGATGTCCACATGCTAAGCTGAACGAGAAGACACCACAAGAAGTCTGGAGTGGAAGAAAACCGAGTGTGTCTCACCTTAAAGTGTTCGGTAGCATAGCTTATGGTCATGTTCCAGCTCAACAGAGGACCAAGCTCGAAGATAGAAGCAAAAAGTACGTGTTTATTGGGTATGATGAAAAAACCAAGGCGTACAGGTTGTTTAACCCAATAACTAAGAAGGTCATCATGAGCCGAGATGTTCAAATTGATGAAGAAAGCGAGTGGAGTTGGAACAACCCGGAGAAGGAGTCCATAGGAAGTAGAAGCTCGGAAGTTGATACACCACATACTGTGAGAGATCATGAGACTTCTGATGAAGAAGATGAACCTCTACAGCCCAGAGCGCGAAGTTTACAAGATATATACAACTCCACTGACGAAGTGCATGTTGTATGTCTCTTGGCAGATTCAGAAGACTTAAATTTTGAAGAGGCCGTGCAGGAGAAAAGATGGAAAACTGCAATGGACGAGGAGATCGGGGCAATAGAACGCAACAACACATGGGAGCTGACTGATTTGCCCAAAGGAGCGCGGCCTATCGGCGTAAAGTGGGTGTACAAGAAGAAGACAAATGCTGAAGGAGAAGTTGAGCGATATAAAGCTCGACTCGTAGTGAAGGGGTACAAGCAGAAGGAAGGAATAGACTATGACGAAGTATTCGCCCCAGTGACGAGAATGGAAACAATTAGGCTGCTGATTTCCTTAGCAGCTCAACACAGATGGACAATCTTGCAGATGGACGTGAAGTCGGCATTTCTGAATGGAATCTTGGAGGAGGAAGTATATGTTGAACAGCCACTCGGATACATGCGAAGAGGCGAAGAGAAGAAAGTGCTCGAGATTGAAGAAGGCACTTTATGGCTTGAAACAAGCTCCACGAGCATGGAATGAAAGAATTGCCACTTACTTCAAAAGGAATGGATATGAGCAGTGTCCTTATGAACATGCTCTATATATAAAGAAGAAAGGAGAAGATGTGATGTTTGTTGCCCTATATGTTGATGATCTTATCTTCATGGGGAATAATGCCGAGCTAATTGAAGAGTTTAAAGAAGTGATGAAGAAGGAGTTTGAGATGACTGACTTGGGTCTTATGAAGTATTTTCTTGGCTTAGAAGTTGTTCAGGGAAAGGATGTCATCTTTGTGTCGCAGGAAAGGTATGCTGAGGAGATCTTGAAGAAGTTTAAGATGACAAGTTGCAACCCGATTTCCACCCCTATGGAACCTGGTACAAAACTTTCTAAGTATGCGAGATGGAGGCCAGAGTTGATGCGAGCAAATACCGAAGTCTGATTGAAAGTCTTAGGTATCTTACAAATACCGGACTAGATTTAATGCTAAGTGTTGGAATAGCAAGTCGATATATGGAGGAGCCAAGGTATACTCATTGGAAGGCACTAAAGAGAATTCTAAGGTATGTGAGAGGATCAGTGTCACTTGGCCTAATGTATACTAGGACGGATGATTATCGACTAGTAGGCTACTCGGATAGTGACTGGTGTGGAGATGTTGATGACCGGAAAAGTACGTCTGGATATGTATTCTTCATGGGAAACACAGCATTCACCTGGCTTTCAAAAAAGCAGCCCATTGTAACGTTGTCAACTTGTGAAGCCGAGTACGTTGCAGCATCCTGGAGTGTCTGTCATGCAGTTTGGCTTAGAAACCTTCTAAGCAAGCTGGAGTTGAAGCAAGAAAGAGGGACTGTGATTCGAGTTGATAACAAGTCGGCCATTGAATTGGCAAAGAATCCGGTCAATCATGAGAGAAGCAAACATATTGATGTTCAGTTTCATTTCATCCGAGAACAAGTGAAAGAAGGAAATGTGGAGTTAGAGCACGTCGGAACCCGAACACAAGCTGCAGATATGTTCACGAAGCCACTGTCAACCACTCTGTTCGAGAACAACAAGAAGATGCTTGGAATGAAGGACAAGAAAAACATTTAAGTTTATGGGAGGATTTTGTTAGGTAAACATTAAATGCATGTAGTTGAGAGGTAGTGGTTATAGAGGTAGTAGTTGAGAGGTAGTTGTTGTATTGAATGTATGTAGTTGAAAGGTAGTAGTTGTATTAAATGCATGTAGTTGAGAGGCCATATCCAAAGGGCCTATAAATTGACCATGCATCACTCATTGCAAATACATCAAGTGATAATATACAAAGTGTTTTATTTAGATACTTGTTTGTCTACACAGATAATGCCATCTGAAAATTCATCCATGTTGACCTGAAATTTCACTTCAATACTAGTAGTCAATTATTAATTGTGCTCCCATAAAATGCTAAACAATATCAGATTCCAAAATCAACCATGGTTATTATTCTCATTTCTCATAATAACAACAAACCTCACTGGTTACACACTAATTTTATATGGAATACGAAAACAATCAATCAATTGAAGTCCTCAGCACCTTCTCTAAACCTTATCAGTATGATCTCCATCCGGGTTGTTGAACACCAATCCCAGGAATCTGCAAGGAAAAACTTGATGCTGACTCAAACCATCCAAGTTTTTCTATGAGTTTCTTCACAAGATCACCAGCTATGTAAGAAAGCAGTGAGGCCACAGCACCAGTGCTGACATAGTAAAGCACTGTTTTGAAGTATGTTAAGTAGCTGTTTGGTCTCTTGATGTATGCTTTGGCAATGGAAAGCATAGTGATGCATAATAGAGAAGCTGCAGCAACAGCAGCTAGCTTGAAATCCTTGTCACCGCTCTCACCAAATGAAAAGCCATATACCACAGGTGGCACCAATCCAAAAATAAGGAATGATAGGATTGCAATAAAAGCATGGAGAATGAAATTCTTCTTCTGACCCAGTAACTTTGTGTACCAATCCACTTGTTCAGATTTCAGTTCCTCTAGCTGAAATGTAGACAAAATTGACACAAGTAAATGTATTAGCTGGAGTCGAAAAAGAAATTAAGTAATTCATAAGAGTGTTGTAGATTTTGGATATGCAGAAGTCTCGAAACGGTGGAATAGAACAAAGTGACAGAAAATGGGAATTGGAAGAAAAAAAGAAGAAGCTTGGAATGAAATATATATTTTGATGATATAACTCACATTATGACCAAGTACGAAAAGTCCACCAATCAGGTTAGCCATAGACAGTGCCACAATGTTCACTGCAAAATAATAAAACTGTCACTAAAATTGCAATATTAATTCCAAAAATTTACCCATCTAGTATTTTTTCCCTGGCCTCGTCATTAACCTTTAGTTTTTCTGTTTTTGAAGATCAACAATGTTGTTTATGATCCATGAATGTCATCTTTTTATTCATACATATGAAAAACAGGAGTCATTAAATATTTGATTAATCAATTACAATTACAGAAACAGATACAAAATTTTCAATGTGGCTAGGTATAATTAAAAATTCCTGGACTCTAATTCATTGCTTGTGTATATGAAACCATAATTGTGACAAAAAAATATATAACTCTAACAAAATAGCACTGATGTTAGAATGATGAAATCAAATAAAGTGTCGTACATGTGGTAGCGTCAGCACTAGCAGCGGATGTCACAATACTGAGACTTGTTAATGATTCAATCAAACCACCATACACAATGCTTTTAAGAATTTCCAATGTGTTATTACTTGCTGCTACAGTTGGTTCACTAGGCGTAACAAGTGGTGTAGTTTCAGTAGGAACAACTTCTTCCGCTGGTTCTGCATGCACAACAAATTAACAACATCATTTCACGGCAATATCATGAGAATATATTGGATATTCAATTTTGTATCAAACCCCTGTTACAGATTTTGTTAACCAAGCACAATTATCATGAAAGTGAAGATTAGACTACATCAATTCTTTCTATAAACTCATAAATTGGGTCGGCCAAGCAGTGTTTTCTTGCGAAACTGATGTGAAATGAATAAACAATTAACTCATATTTGGAGGGCTTACCTGTGTCAGCTTCGTCAACTTTAACCTCGATATGTTCAGGAATGTCCATCTCAGGTTGCTTGGCTACGGTGGCCTGAGGAGCAGCTGTTAAATCACTCTCTTTTGAAGGGTCTGTTTTAGGTTCTTTGGGTATAGAGGCCTTTGGTGCATCACCAATAGCTGGCTTATTACTCCAAAAATGCTTCTTCTTTGGTGCAATTTCATCACCTTTATCTTCCGCTTCAGTTGCTACTTTTTGAGCTCCTAGCTCAGGAGGGACCTCTTTGTCAGTGGTTTGCAAACCTTGTTTTCCTTTGTCATCTGCACTTTTAATGGCTGGTTTTGGGTTACTTTTGGCTTCAGATTGATTGATTGGCTTCTCAGATTCATCAATATTTGGAGTCTCGGGTTGTGGTGTATCTTTGAACTTTTGGTCAGGGTCTTCCGGAGAATTCACGAAGTCAACCTCACCTTCAGGTTGATTAATTTGTTTCTTGGATTGATCAGGTTCTGTGGCCTCATATTGTGGTGCATTTTTTAATATATCCTCACTGTCAGATTGATTCATTTGTTTCTTGGATTGATCAGATTCTGAGTGTGGTGGGACACCTTTGAGCTTTGGGTCAGGACCTTCAGGGTGATCTATGTATTCATCTTCACCTTCCATTGGATTCTTTTGCTTTTTAGATGGATCATATTTTGGAGTTGGTGGACCTTCGAACTTTTGCTTAGGACTCTGTGGGTGATCCATGTCCCGGACCACACCTTCTAACTCATTATTTTCTTTCTTGGATTGATCAAGTTCTGGAGTCTCTCGTTGTGGCTCACCTTTGAATTTTTTGTCAGGACCTTCAGGGTGATCCATGTTGCCGACATCACCTTCAGATTGATTCATTTGTTTCTGGGATTGATCAGGTTCTGGAGCCTCAGGTTGTGGTGCACCTTTAAACTTTTGGTCAGGGCCTTCAGGGTGATCCATGTAATCAACCTTTCCTTCATTTTGATCCATCTGTTTCTTGGATTGTTCAAGTTCAGGAGCTTCGTGTTGTGGTGTACCTTTGATGTTTCGGTTAGGGCCTTCAAGATGATCCATGTAATCAAACTTACCTTCAGAATGACTTACTGTTTCTTGTTCAGATTCTCGTTCGGGGTACTATTTGAATTCACCTGATAGAATATAACTTATTATTGATGTTGTTGGGTTAAGGGTATATTGTTATTTGATGAACCCGCACTATAAACTGATTTCATTTTGCAAAAGGTAGATAGTAGTATCAGTTCAAATTAAACTTTGATGAGACACACACAGAGTTTGTTGCTATGAACAAAATAATTTTGTAAGAGGAAAATACTTCTGCAATGGCCACTACTTAGGGTGTTCATGCTAAACTGTGTTCATAGTTTGACATTGATATTCATTCTACACCTAAATAATGCATGGGTTTATTATAGAATCTTTTAATTTTGAAATAGGAAAAGTATTTAAAATTTGATTGGCAACACTGAAATCATATCATTCTATCAGCATAGTTCAGTAGATAAATTGATTCAAAAAGTCAAGTGGTAAAAGGACAAAATTTATTTCAAATTTTCTATATTCTTGCCATCAACATCTCATATCAAACCACAGCATGATGTATCTCTCAAGAATAAGACGCTGATTTTTGAAAATTTTGATGGCAAGAATATAAGCAAGTTGAATGTTTCTAATCAAATATACTCAATACATTACCTAGATCATTTAATGCAGCAACTTCATCTGATACCAACCCAAGGAACAACCAACAACCTGTTCAAATCAAAGAAGAATTTAGAATTCAGGTCATTTTCAATAGCATAGATAAACCAAGGACTAAAACAATCCAGTTTTAGTAGCGTTGAACTGAGGAAACTGGATCAGGATCAGAATTTAATAATTAGTTTCTCATTTAGGTAGTTGTGGGTATTGGTAGTTCAAATCCAACTAAGGGTCAACATTTGAACTACAAACAAAAAGTAAAGAAACTGAGAGAAAAGTTTTTTTCTGGATATTTTATAGGGATAAATTGGCAACAAATAATGTCTTGTAATATAATAAAGCAAGAACTACGCAATTTATGTTCCATTTTTACAAAAAAATGATAGAATTTTATCACATCTCTTAATTTAAGAAAGATTTTCATCATATTTTTTATATAGTTTATCATTAATTATACTTAAAATTAGGAATAATTCAAAATTTTCATGTAATTCTAACAATTTAATATTTACTCATTAAACTAACCATAACTTCAGTTCTAAAACTTTTTTTTTGAATGATTTCAAACTCATTGAACAGTTAACATTTATAGCTTACATTTTTTTTTATGTGAAAACTTTGTCCACACACTCATATAATCAACGTCTTGCTTAATGAATGAAAAAAAAACTAAGATAATAAAAAATCTAATTATTCTAATTTAGGTTTTTTACTTTAATTAGATTAATTACTATTTCCCATTTTTAGTGCCAAACTAATTATAATTAATAAGTAATCTGTTTTAAATTTGTTACCAATAATATATATATATATATATATATATAAATCAACTTAAGAGGATAATGTCTAGATATAGAACTAAAATAACAAATTTCAAAATAGTTTTAGAATACCGGAATAAACTGAAGAACATCAAAGCAAACAAAACCACGTTTTTTATCTAAATATAAACAGCTAAAAATAAGAGACAATATTTATTTTGTTACGACTAATTTAAACATTGAATAGGTGTTTACACAGTATAAATATGCAGAATGTGATTATCAGAATTGCAGGGTAAAAAAGAGACCTACACGATTCCTTTTTTAAAGAACCAAACCGAATATTGGAGATTTGATGGCACAGTCAAATTCCAACATGAAGGTTTGGTTGTTCTGCTTTCTTCTACTCACCATGGCTGCATTCAATCATGCCAAAGTAGATGTAGAAATCTCACCCAAAAAAATGAATATAAATGGACTTGGCATTTCCAATCAGAACAAAGGAGGCCAACATCCTGTTCAGGTCAACCCCTACCACCGTGGCTGCTCCTTCATCAATAGATGTCGCCATGATTGATTAAAACCTCCATTATATCATACTATTTCAAGGTTTATGTTCGTCCATTTATCATCATATCTCACAAAAACATAAATGTTTTTAATGCTTTTTGCATTACTATTTCAACTCATGTGTATTTTTTTTCTACATTCTTCTTTGTTTCATAAGATTGAAATTATTATATATAATTAAGGATTGGTCTCAGTTTGACACCTAAAGTGTGGCATCCAAAATGCAATCTCTCCTTTGTTTTATCAACTTTATGTATCTATCTAAATTCATCTATATTATTGTCTTTGTTATATAAACTAGTACAATAACTCATTATGAGTGCTGATTAATAATATAGAAAATTTTATATTTTTATATTTTAATGCATATTTTTGGGAATATATATATATATATATATATATATATATTATATATATCAATTTATCAAAATTTAAATAAATATTATGTGTTTAAGACTCATTAACCAAATATTTTGATATGAAAAATAAAAAAAAATGATGTGACAGTAAAATAATTCATATTAAATATTTTATATTTTAACTTTAAGTCCTTTAAAACTTTTTGATAAAATATTTTTAAATATGATATATTAGTTTAATTTATATAAATATTTATTTAATAAAAATATTATCATTCGATTTACATTTATTTATTATTATGGATTTCTTACATGTGAGGTTTGATAATTTATTAGGTTTTTTATTCGATATTATATAAATATATATTTTAGTGTGATGATAAACGTACCCATAACAGAGACCTAATTATGGTTGACTATTTCTCCTCATGTGGCCTTTGGAGTTTACTAAAAAAGAAAAAAAAGTTTTTGATGTTTTGCATATAAGTTTTTTTCAGTTACAAAAAAACGATGTAATGTATGTAATTTATGAAAATATCTTATTTTTATATATAGTGATTGATCAAAGAAAATGTATCATATTTAATTAATATAATTCTCACCCTTTGACTAGGGTTTTGACTGCGTTACTACTATCTCCCAATTTTATATTTATTATTAGTACCAATAAAAAGACTATTGCGATTTTTGTGAATTTAGAATTTATGGGTTCTGATAAATAAAAGAAGCTTCAAAATTGGTATTTGTATAGACAACTGGTTTTGTTAATTAAGCCATAATTTTCTTTTATCTTCTTACAAATTTCTATGGGCAAAATCACCCAAATAGTGCAATTTGCTTTTAAATTTCCTAAAATTATATTTTAAAATAAGACATAAAAAAATTAAATTTTAAAACATGACTTCATTATTTTTTTTAAATTGTTAATAGTAAAGTCGTATTTCAATATACGACTTTAATTTTTTACGTTATAATTTTTTTAGTGAAGTAGTATTTATATATACGACTTCATTTTATTTTAATCTTTATGTAATTAAATATTTTTATTAATAATTATTTTAATAATATTATTAATATTTACTTTCATAATATTATTAATAATTTATAATAATAATAATAATAATTATAACAATAAATAATTATTATAATTATTAGTATTATTAATTTAATTATTTATTATTATAATTATAATTAAAATAATTTTTTATTATTATATTTATTAATTTTACCATATTATTATTTATTAAAATTATTATTACACTTATTACCATTTTAAATAAAAAAATACTAATAATAATAAAATTAATAAATATAATAATAGTAATAATTACTATTCAACAATATTATATATATAACTATTATATTATTAATAATAGTAATAATAGTAGTATTTATATAACTATTATAATTTTTAATATTATTAATTTTATTATTTATTTCTATAATTATAATTGTAATAATGTCTTTTATTATTATATAATTATAAATGTATTATTATTATATGTATTAATTTTAATTATTATTAGGATTATACTTATTTATTAAACTTATTATTATCATCTTTATTATCATTTTAAATAAATAACAATAAAAATAAATATATAAATAATAATAAAAGTAATAAATATAATAATGATAAAATTATATTACAATAATATTATTAATAGCTATTATAATTATTAATATTATCAATTTTATTATTTATTTCTATAAGTATAATTATTTTTTTATTATATAATTAGAAATGAATTATTATTATTATTATTATATTTATTACTTTTATTATTATTATTATACTTTATTCTTATTTATTAAAATTATTATTATTATATTTATTACTTTTATTATTATTATTATACTTTATTCTTATTTATTAAAATTATTATTATTATTATTATATTTATTACTTTTATTATTATTATTATTATACTTTATTCTTATTTATTAAAATTATTATTATATTTATTATCACTTAGAAAACAACAATAATAAAAATAATAAATATACTAATGATAATTAAAAAATTAGTAAATATATTAATAAATAATAATATCATAATAATAAAACTTATTAATTTTATTATAATAATAAGTTTATAATTTTATTATAATAAGAATAAAAAAATATAATTATAATTATAATACTAAATAATAAAATTAGTAATATTAGTTATTATAATAATTATTTATCATTATATTAATATAAATTATTAATAATGTTATTTTAGTAATATATATTTATAAAAATTAATGATAAAAATATATAAGTATATAAATATTATAAAATAAAATAAAGTTATATATATATATATATATATATATATATATATATATAAATACTGTAAAAAAATTAGAACCTAACAAACTTAAATAGTATATTAAAGTAAGATTTTAGTATTAAAAATAAATCAATCAAATTATGTTTTAAAACGAGACTTTTTTTCAAGTCATATTTTAAAATACTACTTATTCATTACGAATTAAAAAAAAATACTCATTTTAAAAAATTTAAAAACAAATTGCACTATTTTAATATTTTTGTCGATTTCTCTGACTCATTTGAAAGTAAGAATATTGATTAAAAAAAAACTTAAATATAATAATTTTAACAAGAAATTTCCTATGAGACTAATTAGGACGAGCTAATTATGTTATAAACGGTGAAATACAGATTAATTATATTTTAATCACAATATATTTAAAATATAACTATTTAAATGGTGAAACACATTTATACGATTATATTTGTGAATTATATACTTACAGAAAGAAATAATGTAGAATTAGTTTAAGTACCTTAATTAAAAGTAAATTTCATTATATATTAATTAAATAATTTTGAATATAGTGTCTTCCACATTTTTAATTTAAGTATTTTTATAACTTATAAATTGATAGTTATAATAATAAATATGTAATGTAAATTTTTTATTATTATAGTCAAATTTGATTTTTTTTTACTTTAATATATTGTTATTGGATATATAGATGAATTATAATTTATTTTATTTGATTTTTTTACTTTAACTATATAATTAATATTTTCATATTTTTTAATATTAAACTAATAATAATGACTACTAGGAAACAAAGATTAGAAAATATCAAGAATTTAAAATTAATAAATATTTTTGAATGGATGAAACAAGACTGAGTCATATTTGCATTAAAAAAAAGTTAAACTTATATCGTTTCACAAATTTCAGGTTTGATTTCTTATTCCTTTCTTTTTCTGGTTATTCTTTCATTTAATAATAATTAATTTTTCTTATCTTTGCTCGCGCATGTTTTTTATAATTAAATTTCTCCGTTTTAACAATGTTAAGAAATATATATATATATATATATATATATATATATATATATATATATATATATATATATATATATATCAGTTAAAACATGAACATATTTTTAATTATTACTAAAAAATCATATTAGATATAATGTATAAAATTAAAGTTTTTCTTAAGATTGAGCAGTATATGTTGTGAGATTTACGTGAGAATCAGAGAAGAGGGGAAAATGTGAAACTGAAGTAGAGAATAAGGGAAATAAATAAATAAAAATAGAGGAGTTGAAAAATAATTAATTAAAAATGGGTTCACGAAAATAAGTGTTAGAAGATATATAATTAATAACTTCTTTGACTAGGGCTTATAATTGTTACATTTTACACGTTCATAATTATCATTCAACGGTTTTAAAACTATCATATTGTAGCGTAAATAGTAGCAGTTTTTTCAAACTTGTCATTTTTTTTTGGAAATTACTTTTAGGGTTGAACTAGAAAATATAATAAAGTATAATTAATGATTATTATATTTATTACAAGGTTATACAAGAGGATAATATCTAGTTATGGAAACTAAAACAACAACAAATTCAAAATTAATTTTAGAATATTTGAATAAATATTTTAGATGGTAATAAACTTAAAATCATGAATATTCATCAAAGCAAGTGCAATACGTTTCCATGTAAAAGTAAACGGCAATAAATAAAAGAATAATTTGTCTTAACACTAATTTAAACCGTGATAGATGTTCATAACGATGAACATTGGAGAGTAGTATAAATAGGTAGAATGTTATTGTTCCAATTGCAGAACACAAAGGAGACATACACTGATCTTTTCTTAAAGAATCAAACACAAGATTTGAGGTTTGATGGCAGAGGCAAATTGGAACATGAAGGTTTGGTTCTTCTGCTTTCTTCTTCTCAGCATGGCTGCATTGAATGGTGCCAAAGGAGATGAAGAAATCGCAGAGAGAAACATGAAGTTGATAAGTGGACGTAAGATTTTGAATGAGAATGTAGAGACCGAACAAGATCAACCGGTCAACCCCTACAACCGTGGCTGCTCCAACATCAATAGATGTCGACATGGATAATGTTCGTAGCTTTATCATCATATCTCACATACAATAATGTTGTAATGCTTTTTGCATTACTTTTGCTTCTTTTTATATGATCTAAAATTATTATTATATATAAAGATTTAACTCAATTTGACACCTAAAGTGTGCCATCAAGCTATTATCTCTCTTTTGTCTTTTCTTTTTTATATAAATTATTGTCTTTGTTTTATATATATATATATATATATATATATATATATATATATATATATATATATATATATATATACAATTTATAAGAGATCGAGCTTTACAATCTAAATTATAATTAACCAATTTATCTATACAATTTTTCATCTTTCTAAAAAATATGGAGAATAAATAGTTAAATAATCTTGTAATCTAAGATGTTAAGGAAGAGTATTTTTATTCAAGAAATATAATCAATGGCAAGTGGAGGGTGTGACATTCTGAACATAAACTTTACATAGCAAACATAATTGCTGCAGCTCCCAAAAATCGTATTAAAAGATAGGTTTCTGAAAAACTATTTAATACTATTGTTTTATAAATACTATTTAATAATTATATTTATTTATTATAACTCTTTTCATTATTTAATGATTTTTAGATGGAATAATCAATTAGTTGTTTAAGATTCAATTTATTATTTAAATTTAAAGAAATTATAATAAAATTTTAAAATTAAATTTAATTTTTTGACTATTCTTTGTTTCATATAAGTTATCATTTATTATCATTAAAATATAATTAATATTTTATGTTATAATAAAATATAATTTAGTTTTTATATATATATATATATATATATATATATATATTAAATTATATAATAATAATAATAATAATAATATTCGTTTATATATATATATATTATTATATTATTATTATTATTATTATTATTATTATTATTATTATTATTATTATTATATGTAGGATCTCTTTGAAATAAAAGATGAATAAGAAGAAATTTTGTTTTTTGAAAAATATTTATTTAACTTTCCTATTTTTTTTTTAACTTTTGTTTCTAAATTAGTTTTATCCATTACATTTTTAGAATATAATAACCAAGTTAAAAAAAAAAAAAGCTAAAAAAAAAATCAAAATAATTTTAGAATATTGGAACACATTTAGATGAATACTTTCAACTTTCTTATCGTGAATAACCCATAAAAATCAAGTAAAGAACTATCTTTTTCTAAAAATAAACTCATTTCTCCATCACAAATTTGAAACCTAATTTCGTAGAGTTGTTTGTAACCATGAGTATTAAAGTAGAAAGTATAAATACATAGAATGAGAGCTACAGAAAAATTGTCTCAAAGAACCAAAACAACGTTTGAGACTTCATGGCACAGATAATTCCGAACATGAGGGTTTGGTTCTTTTGTTTTCTTCTTCTGAGCATGGTTGCATTCAACCATGGCAAACAAGATGAAGAAATCGTACACTCAGTAACAGAAGAGGGAAATGAGAATAAAATTTTCAGCTCTGAAGATGGCGACCTACGTGCTGCAAATCCATACACACGTGGCTGCTCCAACATAAATAGATGTCGAAATGAAAATCACCATTAATTCAAAATATCATTTTTATGATATTATATTTTCACGTGAAGGTATATGATATTTATGAGTATTAATCATTTCTCTCCCGTTATAAAAAGTAAAATTATAAGAATATTACTACCAAAAAAACATTGATGTCAATTTAGATGTATTCAAGAAAGATCTCGTAGTAGTAACAAGTTTGTCCATGCATCACTCTAAATTTATATCACCTATTGTCTTTGTCATATATAATATAATATACTGTATTATTTCCTCTGAGAATTATATATCTCAGTTTCATATTTGTTATTATAAGATTATTAACTCAATATATTTTTTTTATGTATTGTCTATTTGATATTCTCATCTATTAATATAATATCTGAATATAAAAATTGATCAAACAATATTATAATAGGTGGGCATACTACTTGATATCTGTTTTTCTTACTTTTCAATTTTCTTTTCGTTTTTTCATTTTATATGACAAATCTAGAGTTTTATTATTATTATTCAAAATAGGTAGTTAGATGATATTTTTATGAGATGTTATCAAAATTATTTGAATAAAATGTTTATTCTCATGATAATAATCTTCAGTCCCATTTATATCGCCAATTATTATATTTATATCATGCATTTTCTAATTTAGGCAACTGAAAAATCTACAAATACGCATCGAAGTTACCATAACAGTCAACTGAAAAATATCAAGGTTCTGGGAGAAAGTTTGAAAAATTTGAACAAAGCACTTTTTTTTCTAGAACAATTACAATAATATTATTTGTGAATAATAATAATAATAATAATAATATATTTATAATCAATATAAAAAATTATATATTTTTTTCTATAACAGATTTGCTACAAAAGTTAATATGAAAATACACTAGTGCTATTAATATATTAAACAATATTTTAACATTGTAAAAAATAATTGATTGAGAAAAAGAGTTAATATTTGAATAATATTATATTAAATACTTAAATATGATATTGTTTAAATTATTTTATTTAATTTTGAAAATTTTGAATATAACATATTTTATGATTCCCTATACATGATAAATTTATTCTTTACCCTGTTTAGTCCATAACGAAGTCTAAACTATACCATTTTTAGTAAATATAAGAACAAAAACCTGAAAAAAAAAATATTATTATACCAATTAAATTCAAGATTTTAGAGTAGCCTTAGGACTAATATTACATTTTTACTTTAAATTCATATAATCTTAATTATTTTGACCCATCAACTTTTTTTTCACCTCCGTCACACTGCTATATATATATATATATATATATATATATATATATATATATATATATATATATAATATATAACTAATGTTCACAAATAAACACGATCTCAATTTAAAACTACGATTTCACGTGTTAATCTCAACTTATATTTTTCTTTTCCATGTAAAACTGGTATCAGAAGTACTCCAATATATAAACAGTAGTCACTGAAACCGAATATGCATAAAAGAAGAAGAAGAAGAAAAAAAGATGTGAATCTTCTAGAATTTTATATCAACCAGCAAATAACCATTTCACACTGCAAACTCTTACTACATTCATACCCCATAACTATATATATCCTTGATTGGACACAGAACCAAGTAGCTATAAACTTAAATAAAATTTATTTAACTACATATTCTGACATCACTTCCAATCAGTGATATCGTGGAGTAGTAGGGGCAGTGGTTAGGGTTTGAGGTTGAGGATTTGCATGATTGGGTTGCATGGTTTTGTAATCTTTGGGTGGCGAATTACAAACAGAAGGATGCAGAAAACAAAATGTGACCCATTGATGAATTACATTGAATGGCAATGGATATGGATATGGAAATGGAATTGGCACTAGTCCAAAAGTTTGAGGATGGTACCCACCATCATCTTTATCTGGGACTCTTCTTCCTGCACCTTCAGAACCATTCAGAATTGCAAGAACAAAGAGAACCAGAACCAACCAAGCTTTAGTGGTGTTTGCCATACTGCATAATAATATTGATGAGTTATACTCTCAGCACTGAAAACTTTGCTTTTCTTTTGTTTTGCATGAAAGAAAACTACACCAGATTGGTCCAATTTATAGAGCCAGTGGTTAATGTGAAGACAACTATTGGTTACCTTAGAGGGGCATTGAATTAATTTGGTCTTTTGAGTGAGGAAATTGGTTACAAGAAAATTAAGGTAACTGAGGTAGCGTGTGGAAACCATATTAAATATTAATTAAGGACATTGTTTCCTTATGATGTTGTGTTTTTAAGTTTAACAAGTTTTTTTCTACAGAGGAAAAAAATAGAAATAAAAGTGCATCAATTTCGTAACTAGAGCTATGAATTAATTGGGTCATGATCTGATTTGTATTTTTAATTGGTAAGATCTTTAGGGTTTTCTGAAGATAAAGGATGATAATAAGAGTAAATGGCTAATCCAGTAATTAGTATGGTAGGTAACCAACCTAATATTTATTACAAATGAAAGTATTAGGATTTAAGCAAATTTTAAAATTATTTTAAGCCAAAAGAAAAGGATTAGGTTCACCATAATAAATAAAATGGAGTTAAAAACATTAATAGATGAGTTTTATGTTTTAATAATATAGTTTTAGTATAGAATTAAATGAAAGAAGTTGAGAGATAAATGCATGTGAAAAATTTCCCCTTAATTCCTTTATATGCTATTTTTTCATCCAAAATAAAATTAATAATTATAAATTTTAATAAGTATTTTGGTTCGTAACCATGAAATTGGAACAAATTATTTATAGCTGGAAAAATAATGACTGATAATCACTAAATAAGAGTGAACAAAATTAAATATTTAAATTTAATTAATAATTATGAAAAACTTGGTATTATTAAAATAATAATAATCATGAATATAAATTATTGAAATTGACAATTTCTAGTAATTTAATTATAAATATTATTAATAAAAAATATAATAATTATGATAAAAAATTGATATTAAAATAATAATAATAATTATTATTATTATAAATTGTTAATAGTACCTTATTCTAAATTTATTATTTAAATAATAAATTATTATTATTATTAATTATTAATAATGAAAACTAATCTATCACTATAATAATATATTATTGTCACAAATATATAATTATATGGAATAATATATTATTGTCACAATTATATATAATTATTTGTAATAATGTATTATTGTCAATATTATATATAATTATTTGTAATAATTATTTTTGTTATAACAAATATTAATTTTAGTGATATTTAAAAATATTGTCACAAATATATTAGTGAATTAAGTATTAAAGACAGTTAAAGTATCATGAAAATATATTATTAGAGGTAAATTTTAAATTTTAAATTAATACGTTGAATTTTAAATTCAATCAAATTAATTGAATTTAGATTAAATTTTTTATTCTAAAATCTAAACTTGTTAGATTATACTTATCAATTT